GCCAATATATGCAATCTTTAAACGGGAGTTATCCGAGCAAATAAAATATTATCGATTCGCGATGGCCAGAGAAACAGACCTCGTTCTGCACTTATCCGTCTGGTCTTAATTTAAGCCATTCTCCATAATGTGACATTGCAGCCGTATTTTCTCCTCTGCAGGACAAACTGCATGCGAAGCAGAGGAGACGGTTAATTCACTGAAATCCGCGAAGAACATAAAAAAATCTGGTAAATCAAATATATTCTTCTACATTTAGAGACCTTCGAGGCGAGGGCAGAGGCAGCCGTCCAGGCTCACGTCTCCAGTTCACGGCATTCTCCAATTAGCCGTAGCACTGTTTATAAAAAAGTATATAGAGTGTAATAGAATGGTATTATGATGGTGTCCAGTGGCCGGCCATGTTGGGGGTTGTAGTGTTCTATGTATAGAGTGTAATAGAATGGTATTATGATGGTGTCCAGTGGCCGGCCATGTTGGGGGTGTGGTGTTCTATGTATAGAGTGTAATAGAATGGTATTATGATGGTGTCCAGTGGCCGGCCAGGTTGGGGGTCGTAGTGTTCTATGTATAAAGTGTAATAGAATGGTATTATGATGGTGTCCAGTGGCCGGCCAGGTTGGGGGTCGTAGTGTTCTATGTATAAAGTGTAATAGAATGGTATTATGATGGTGTCCAGTGGCCGGCCATGTTGGAGGTTGTAGTGCTCTATGTATAGAGTGTAATAGAATGGTATTATGATGGCGTCCAGTGGTCGGCCATGTTGGGGGTGTAGTGTTCTATGTATAGAGTGTAATAGAATGGTATTATGATGGTGTCCAGTAGTCGGCCATGTTGGAGGTTGTAGTGCTCTAAGTATACAGTGTAATAGGTATAATGATGATGTCCAGTGGTGAGTTTAGTTGGGGGTGTAGGGGGGGGGGTCAGCTCCATGGTGAACTCTAGCCATATAGGACGGTCCAATGAGAACCCCCTTCCTCTCCATTTTAAGACTGCAGTGATACAAGGAGAAAACCTCCACCTCCTTTGACATTACTGCTACCATACAAACCTTCTGTTCGGCATGACTAAACTTTTCCCCTAAACCTCCACTTATTTATGGTTTCTCTTAACTTGTTTCTGTAGTGTGAATCAGCTTTTATTACCCGCTGCAATGTCATAAACATGCACATAAAAATTCTTGCAGGTGCAGCTGCTGGAAGTTCAAATCCTATTGACATAGGCATGCCCCCAAAACTACATCTCCCGAGAGCCATTTCCTTACACACACACTGTGTGAGCAGGTTCTTGGCAAGTTCGAGTCCAGGCAGCAGTGCTGTTTTCTCGGGAAAGAAATCAATGTATGCGTGTGGATCAGAGAGGGGAGATAGGGCGATGTTCTGTAGTACATCAGGCAGGGCTGACACCATTTAATGGTAGTTTTTGCTTTAATTCAAAGCACTCATCATTTCTGGAAATCAGACAGAGGGCCGCCGTGCGAGCTCCCCGACAAAAACAAGTCAGCTGACGAGCATTTTCCTCTTCGTAAGTAAACAGGACAATATTTCAGCAGCATAATCGTCGAGCATCTACTCAGCTCCTTAACAGCAATACGCTTCATTAGGTAGCTACTGTTGTGTCTCGGCCTAGTTAAAATTTCACTCCGAGTTAATCTGTTTTATCACAAATGAGAGCGCCGCTCGCCCCGGACAGGGTTAACGGTATCCGCGGCTGATCCGGGAGGGCACATATATTTGGTAAAATGAGAAAAAGACGAACGTTTTGCTTACGCCGCCGCTCCGGTTTTATCTGCCATTTCTGGATTTTACTGTCCGGTCGCACTCCATATATTTTATACGTTTTGCTATTGCGGCGTCTCAACGGGCGCCGTCGTAGCCAATGGGATTTTTAGGGCTGGCGGTGGAGCAATGTAACCGTGTTATGATTTCATAAGAACAATATTTTCTCTGGGAATTACGGCAGCCATTGGACACTGCAGGCGGAGCAGCAAGACATTGCAGGACGGGACGCCTTAAAGGGCCACTACCATAGGTCACACGTGTATGTACAAAAGTAAACTGCGACTGTAAACCTTTTCAAAGAAGTATAGCGTGGGGAAGATACTAAGATACTTGGAGGACTT